TGGCTACCTCACCTCCTGCCTTTCCCAATTTTCTCCTGCGCCCGGAGGCAAAAGAAAACCAGGAATGACGGAGCCGGCTGGATCTGCCGTTGGTGTGTTGAGCCATCGCTGCCAACGAGGCGGGAGCAGCAGGATATTCAATCTCCGTGAGTCACCTCTCCCTCCCTATCTGCCATCTGCAAGTGCTCCAGCCTGAACTGCAGGTTTGGGATCGGGCTGCTCCGGCCCCACGCAGCCGAGGATATCCCGGAGCCTTCCCTTGGTGCAAGCTGGGGATGCCGGGGATTTGGCAGGTGTTAAACACATCCACGGATCCAACGCCTTAAGTAGCACCTGGTTTTCCCAGGGCGGGTGCTGGGAGGTGGGATGGAGCCCAGGAGGAAGCTGTGGGTGCCGGAGGCCTCTTCTCCAGACAACGGAACCGGCGGCAAAACACTCTGTGTCTGTCGTGGAGCGCCCGCGGTTAATTGGCAACCTGAGAGAGGAGGGAGCTGTGAGGAGAGACATCAGTTCATAAACCCTCAAGTGTTGGGAAGCTCCAGATTTTCCAAAGGCCCAAAAGCTACATATGCATCAGGCTGCCCAGAAGCTGGCAAACACCTGAAGGAGTTAATCCACAGATCCCGCTCTCGGATGCCAGAACTCCTCCAGTGTCAGTGTGATTAACCAGTTTCACTACTCAGGAGGGTTTCTGGGGGGGAGCAGGAGTGCTGGAGAGCCTGGGAGAGGGGAAGGAGGAGCTATGGAGCCCCTTCTCCCCCATGTCAGTGTTCCAGGGGAGCACCGGAATGGTGAGGAGGCAAAAAGTGTTGGGGGAAGAGGTTTCAGGCTGTGACCTGGAGGCCTTGAGTCAGGGAAACCCACAGACAGCTCCCAACAAGGTGGAAAAGCTGCAGCTTGGCCTCGTGGGGAGATGCATCCCCCTTCCAAAATCATGAGGGCCATGGTGGAAAGAGAAGCTGGGAAGTTTTGGTGCTGCGGTTAAAAGCATAACCTCCCATCAAGGGGAAAATGCAGAGGAGGATTTGTCCACGGGGAATCAGCCAAACAGGTACGGCAGGAGCGAGATCCTGAGATTGCAGCTGCCAGGCTGCAGGCAGCGTTCCTTAAAGGAAAACACATCACTGCCCAGGTCTGCAGTATTCCCAGCCCTCCCTGGAGAGGCCGGAATGCTGCAGCCAACGTGGCCAGAAGCAGGTCCTGGGCAGAGCGGTGCCGCAGGAGAGCGGCAGGAGCTCCCAGATCCCGGCCTGGACGGTGATCCTGGCTCACAAACGCCACATAGGATGTTTGGAGGCAAGGGCTGGAGGACTTTGGATTCATTAGCAAGTCCAAGGCTGTAAAATGAGCCAGGGTGAGATCTAGGGACAGCTCGTTGGCAGCGATTCAGCGCCTTCCACCCCAGCCCTGCTGAGCTTGGCTCATCTTCCAGCGAGCAGGTGCCGGGGGAAGCTCGTCCCAAACCTTTGTGCTGGGGCAGTAAGGACTCACCCAGCACAACCAGCACTGTCTGTCCTGCTGCTGCCCCTCACCTCCCTCTCAAAATGCTTTTATTTCCTGTGCTGACACGAAAACCAGTCCAACGTGGGTCATCCCAGCCCAGAACACTCATCATATTGAAAATATGAGTAACTATGATATATATAGGGTGGAATTTGGACATTTAAACACGATGCAATTTGAACACTTAACAGACAGACTTGCTCTGGAGGGAAAGGCAGAGCCAAATCCCTGCTTCCCTGATCTCCACGGGCTTGGTTACAGTCAGGGCAGCAGCCTGGAAGCCGCAGGTACGTGATAGGAAGAGCTTCCCAGGGAGCTGGGTGAGTTCCAGGCTAATCCAGCCCCTGTGGGGAGAGAAGCCCTGGCAGATGTTAAGTTATGGGATAACTGCACCGGCGCATCCTGGTCCACTGGAAGTTACCAGCTGCTCCACAACAGCCCCCCACTTCCCAAGGGAAAATGTAAAAAGCTCCTCAGGGAGAAAATAGCAAACATTAACAGCACGAGGACCACGCAATCCCACGTTCCATGGGCAAAGTGCAAAGTCCCCTTCGGAGTGAGCGCCAGGCCGGCGGCGCTGCCCAGCCAGGAGCTGTCAGCACCAGGCCCTGCAAACCCTGGAGCTCCCACCCTTCATGGGATGGGTTTGTTCTCCAAATACCAGCTTGAAATGAATGGCAGAGGTATTCTGGGGTCCTGCTCCTCTCCATCCAGGCAGGTGCCATCCTCTGATGGACCCTCACGAGCTGCAGCTCAGCCCAAAATGTGAAATAAAGTGTGTTCCCATAAACCAGCCAAACAACCCTCGGATCAGCGCAGTGTTTGCTGCAGCTTTCCGTGGATTTTCATCTCCTGCAATGCTGAGGGAGAAAACCTCCCCTCCTGCTCCATCAGAATGAAACTTTGGGATGAAGCTGGTGCCTGGTCCAGGCAGCATTACACCCATTATAGTACAAACAAGGAATCCTTTCTAGGCACAGACACGGGGATAATTTAGGAGTTCATAGGACCAGAATCACAGAATGGTTCGGGTTGGAAGGGACCTTAGAGACCATCCAGTTCCAACCCTCTGCCATGGGCACGGACACCTTCCACTAGCCCAGGTTGCTCCAAGCCCCGTCCAACCTGGCCTTGGACACTTCCAGGGATCCAGGGGCAGCCACAGCTTCTCTGGGTAACCTGTGCCAGGGCCTCCCCACCCTCACAGTCAGGAATTCAGGTTGTTTTCTACACCTTGGCTCCCTCCCCTCCTCTGTTCAACCACTGAAGGAGTTTTCACCCACTGAAGGGCAATTTGGGCACTAAGATACCTCTACAGATCCAGGAGTTGCTGGTGGCACCCCTGGGAGTTGTCCTCACCTGAAAACTCGCAGGGAAAACAAAGTGTTTTAAGTGCTACCAATTTCCAAGCATCACCAACTTCCACCTCTCAGGACACCCATTAAAACCTGCTGAAGTATTTTTCCTGACTAAAGCTGCCCTGGGAGACGCAACTAAAGAAACCAGGAGCAGAGGAGTGAAGTGCATCCTCTGGAAGGGAAAACTTGAGAGGCAAAGCAGGAGCCAGAGCCTGTTAAACCGCTGTGAGACTCAGCAGATGAGTCACATCTCGACTCTTTTCTTTCCCCCCTCCTTTCTTTTAAGGAGGCCAGAGATACCTGTTCTTAAGCAAGAGCAGAGGCACTTCCTGGACAACCCGCCGCACACCCCATTTCCCGCCTGTAAAAACCACCTTCCCCACGAGCTCCCCGGGCTCTGACTCAGCCCTGCACCCTCCAGAGCTGACACAGGGCTAAAATTACACCATTCTGCTCTCTGGGTGCTCCCAGTTTTGAAAGTGAGCCGGGCTGTGGGGCTCCACCTCGGCCTGAAGCCCTGAGAGCGTCGGCTCAGATGTAATTCCGAAACACGGCCCTGAGCGGTGCCGGGGCCGCGTGTGGGACCCCAGAAGAGGAACTGAGTTAGTCAGCAAGAGGTGACACTCTCTCACCAACAGCCCCTGGAAGCTGATTCTTCCCCATGAGGTGGAGGGGGAAGCTTTTTTTTTTCGTTCCAGAAAGCTCCAAAGCCGAGGGGATTTCGGATTCCACACGCTGAGCCCTTCAGGCTGGACAGATACGGGAAGCAAATCCAAGATAAAAAGCACAGTCGTGCTTTAGAGGGAAGTCTGAGTCACAGCGCTCACACCAAGGCTGCTTCCACTCTCTGCAGCGAGCTCTCCACTCCTGGCAGTTGCTTTTCCCATTCCCAATTCCCAGTGAGAAGGGATATAACCACAGGTCCACCACCGGCTCTCACAGACCCCGTGTCCAGCTGTTCCGACAACGTTTTTAAAGCAAGACACATTCCTTTAGGAGGACTTGGATTAGCAGGGGTAATCTCGCATTAGGAAGGGCAGGCACACTTTTTCCAAGCCCTGCCCATGAGGACCAGGGCCCCGTGAGTGAGGGCAGAGCCCCGGGTGAGTCAGGGCGCAGTTCAGAGTCACGCTCCTCGCGGCCCGATAAGTGCCGGCATTTTGAGATGTGACTCACTACTACAACGAGAGAGACACGAGTTTCCCCCTCTGGAGCCCTGTCTCCCAACCCCGAGGAGTTTAATTAAGCCAGAGTAAGTTCATTTACACAGCCACACCCTGAGCTGACACCCAGGCAGACAGAGCCCGAACGCCCTGGAAGGGGAAAGCTTTGCGGGGGATCCACCACCCCTGAGCCCAGGGACTCCCACCTGGCTGGATAACCATGGAATGGTTTGGGTGGGGAGGCACCTCAAAGACCATCTATTCCCAACCCTCTGTCACAGGTAGGGATGCCACTGACTAGCCCAGGTAAAGATGCTTCCCGAGGATTCCCAAAAGCTTTGCAACAATGAGACAGTTCCCAGACTCGGCCTCGCACCTGGAGCTGCGGGATTCACCTCGGAGACTCTGCCAGCAGAGCCTGAGCAGCCCAGCTCCAGGCTGTGACCCCGCTGCCTCTCCCATGGGATGGCAGCTGTCACAGTGCCCATATCCCGCTGCTCTCATCCCGGCCCCCCCACAGCCCCAGCACCTGCCCAAGTCCTTTTATCGGCTCACTCGTGCCCTGCTCAGGCACCACAGAGCCCCAGCGTCACATCTGTCGCTCCACAAGCACCTCGAGTCACTCAGCAGCCCTTTTGTCCATCCCTGCACGTCCTACACCGGCCTCCTATCCTCCCTTTCCAAGCAATTCCCTCCGTGGAACACCTTCCCCAAGACACGTGGGGCTGGCACCGAGGCTGGATAACCCTGACAGCGCAATTTGCTCGAGATTATTAAACGCCAAGTGGGAATATTAAAGGAGCACCATCCTTTTCCACTTATAAAAATAGTCACTCATCTAATTCTCCAAGGAATCACAGCCAGGCTTCCAAGCTGGGAGATGCAGAACAGAGCCCTCTTTATCTCAGCACAACGCCACCAGATTGCCCCTTTCTGTTTCTCCCCTAATTAAATATAAGTAACATACCAGGAGAGCTCCGCTGTGTAATTGCTTTATTTTTCTGCTTAGTAGTTCTTTACCAACACTACAGCCATATTGAGAACACAGAATTCCTGGTTACTCCAGTCAGGGGGGGTCATAGGCCACAAACTCAGTCACTGGTCGGACACGATTTGACGCCACTCAGAACTTACTCCACAGAACTCACACGGACACAAATCGATGCACTTGGAACTCCAGATGGGTTTGGAAATCACCGGGTTTCGTACAGGATTCCCACTTTATCCTGCCTGTGAGCCACTACCTCGTGGTGGAGGTTCAGCTACAGCCTAGAAAGGACATGTTGGAAGTGAAACCTGTGGGGTTTGTTCGGTACCGACGGCCCTTTATTTTTGACGTCTCTGCCACATCTTTCAGTAACTTTTTCTCCCCCTTTCTCCTTCCCCATTCTCCCCCCCCCAAAAAAAAAACCCCAACAAAACATTAAAAAAATTCCAGAAGCAAAAGCAGTTTCCTTTCACCTACAAAAACAGAATAACAAAGTCACTAAGGGAATACAAAGTTGTGAAGTCAACGCAAAGGCTGCCCCAGCACTTGGAAACACAGGAAACCAACTCAGACGAAAAATGAAGTTACTGAAGTTTTCATGTTGACTGAGAATAGGCTTAAGAAAGTTCAAGAACCATTAATAGAGCTTCAAGTTTTCCAGTTTAGGCATTTACTTTGTGCTTGGCTATTTTATTGATGCTCCAGAAGAAAACAGTAACCATACTCTTGTATTTTTTTTTTTTTTTAAGTTTTTATACCACCACACTTGTTTGTTAAGTTACAGCAACAGGAAAAAAAAAAAAAGAAAATAAAAGCTAGAAAATAGAGCAATGATTTTTCCAACGGCAAAAAAGCCTTGGATTAAAGTAAACTAATCCCACTTCCTCTTCTTTAGGGCTGAGATTGAAGAGTTATTTCTACATTGAGCTTCTTCAGACTCCCTAACTTCACAAAGTCCATCAATGCTCTATCTTCTAGCACCAAGAACCCATCCAGTCCCATTTGCAACCCACATCCAGACAAGTCTTTTTGGAACCATGTTCTAAAAGGACTTCGAGCAAAGCATTGGATTTCAGGAGTGAATTCGGGATTTTTTGTCTTCCCACACATCTTTGGTAAGAGCTCCATAATACAACGTACTCTCCATGCAGAGTCACCACTGCAGCAATGTAGTGTAACGCCCCCAATTCCATGTAAAACTTATATTCTTGGAAAAAAAAAAAAAAAACCCCAAAAAATTAAGGAGAGGTTAAAAAAAAAAAAAAAGGAAAATAAAAGCCATTTTCTTCTGGTTTTGTAGCATACATTCCTAGAATTCCCCACCGGAGTTCTAACTCCTTGAGGAAATCTGAAGTTAATCCTTAAGGCTGAATAAGAACCAGCTGCTTTAACAGTTTGTGCACCCAGCGTTAATTAATACTTGATTGAGTTTTTTATGCAAATACTCGCCCTGGGTGGGGTTTTTGATTGGCCAGTCACCTCTACAGGCTGTGACATGGCTAACGAGCTGCTTGCCCTTTAAGAACTAATTATGGAAGTTTACATTCAGCGTCGATTCTCTCTCTCTCTCTCTCTCTTTCTCTCCCCTCCCAGCTCTCATTAGTAGTTACTCAATGGGCTTCACACATCCAACATAGTTCCCTTTCCTACAGGACTACAGCAACAACCGGGACACACGGGAGGCTCCAGCTACTCCCAGGAGCTCGGTCCAGGCTTGGAAAACTAAAGCAAGAAGTGATTTCCTCAAAATGGCCATAACTGATGTCAAAACCACCGGGCTCGAGTCGAGCTCAGCACGGAACTCGCCCCCTTTTCTCAAGGCTCCAACATGGAAAAATAATAACAATAACAACAATTTCCTTCTTTCTGTTGGAAAGGACCAGGAATCCTTTTAAGGTAGAGGCAAAGTCAGTGCTGGATTTTTGCCTAAACATCTGCGATTTAAAGCAAAACCCGCTGCAACATTTGTAACGCTGCATCTGCTTTTGGAAGGAACCTCCACTCGGGGGGGTACCGACACCAAGTAGCAAAAAAACTGCAACTAAACGTCATTTTAAGACCAAAAAAACCGGACCTGGAACTACGGACATCGTTCCTGTCTCGCTTGCTATGTGGTGTGGGGAGCTGCTTTGCATCCCTCCTCATGCATGATGTATGGGGCAGAGCTTCCCCAGCTGACATTCCAAAAGCAGTTCTTACATTTCCCGGCGCCCGATGTGCACTTTGAAACACACGTTAACAGCGGAATTCCCACTCTCTGCCACTGCAGGCAAGAATTCCCCTCGTTAGCCTGAGCCGTGGAGCCAGACTGAGTCGCTGTTTAGTTACAGATTAACAGAACTTTTCTTTAAAAAAAAAAAAACAAAAAGAAGAAAAAAAAAAAGTCCTTAATATAAAAAGACAGACTGCGGTTTGATTTTAAGCAATAATTTTCAGTTTACTAGATGAAGTCGACCTAGCAACATATCCTGCAGGAATGCAAAAAAGTAGCAATCTACAGCAAAGTGAGAGAGAGAGGAAAAAAAAAATAAAATATATATAATCAAAAAAAGTAGACCCAGAAAGCATACACTGAAAAATGGACCCCCTCCCCCAACATCCCCCCAAAATAATTCAAACCAGCAAAGGGCTATCGAGAGGAAACAACAACAACAAAAAAACCAACAAAAAAAAAAGTTACTTAGCAAGTCTACAATGTGTCCTTCCCCTGTTTGCTGGAAGTCTGGCATAGCATCTAGTGCCTGTGTTCGTGTCCCATTCCGAGGTTAGAGCATCCTAACGCCAAGCAGGAGGAGTTAGAACAGGAATCCAGCCAAGGGTGCAGGAGGAAAGGGTGGCAGAAAGGTGATCGTAATCCTATGGATGCTTTTTATTTTTTTTTTTTTTTTTACTTTTCAGTAGAGAATCATTCTTCTGGAAAGCCACGTGGGTTATTTTTTTTTTTAAATTTGTTTTTCTGTTTGTTTGTTTGTTTCTTTAATTCTTTGTAGACTAAATAGTTCCTCTCCCCATTAGGATTTATAATTGGACGTTAACCACGTCAGCCCTTCGTAGAGTCCATCCCCCGTCGTGGCACAGGAGGGCTGCACATACCAATTCCTATCCCTGATCCGGGTCAGGCCCAGTTTCTCCTGGATCTCGTGGGGTTTCATGGCGTCGGGCAGGTCCTGCTTGTTGGCGAAGATGAGGATGATGGCGTCCCGCATCTCCCGGTCGTTGATGATGCGGTGCAGCTCCTGCCGCGCCTCGTCGATGCGGTCGCGGTCGGCGCAGTCCACCACGAAGATGAGCCCCTGCGTGCCCGTGTAGTAGTGCCGCCAGAGGGGCCGGATCTTGTCCTGGCCGCCCACGTCCCACACGTTGAACTTGACGTTCTTGTAGGTGACGGTCTCCACGTTGAAGCCCACGGTGGGGATGGTGGTCACCGACTGGCCCAGCTTCAGCTTGTACAGGATCGTGGTCTTGCCGGCCGCGTCCAGCCCCAGCATCAGGATCCGCATCTCCTTGTTCCCGAAGATCTTGGACAGCACCTTGCCCATCTCGGCGGCATCCAAGGGAGGGCGGCAGGGCGAGCGCCGGGCCCCGGCGGCGAGAGAGGGGGCGGGCGGGGCTCAGCGCGGGCCGCGCATGGGGCGCCGGGGAGGCGGCTCCCGCTGCTCCGCCGGGCCCGCGGCGGCGGCTCCGCCCGCTGCTGGCTGTGCGGCGGCCGCGGCGCTCAGCTCATGGGTGCCGGGCGGTGCCCCCCGAGGGTGCCCGGGCCGTGCCGGGCGGTCCGGGCCGCGCTCCCTCACCCGCCGCC